CAATACTCTATATCTGACAGGCTTTTCTTGAAGTGGGTTTTGACATTATGTAATTGGGTATCCCTACTTTCAAATAAAAACAGGTCATGGCCGGAATGACTCGGCAGCCAGCCAGTCAAGCAAAATCTCCCCCATCTCCCCTTCCTTCATAACAGACATTATTTTGACATTTAGTAATCTTTGAAGTGCTTTGCAACAGAACATAGTTAAACAACTTCTTAATAAGAGAAGGTGACTGCACTGTTTGGGAAATGATATGTTCATCTGTTAAAGACTCAGATTCCTACCAGAAGCTTGAGGTTTTATTTATAATAATGAATTTAAATGAAGATTTTTCAATTGAGAGCTGTATACACGGAAATTACAAAAATATCAGTGTGGTCACTGCAACAAATTCTTGTTACGCAACAATATTTGAAACCTATTCACTTATGTGACCTTACAGATCTGAGATCTAAAATCTGTCTAGCAAGCTTCCCAAACTGACAGCTTACATACTGCTGAGCAGGCCACCAGTTCAAGCGATGGGTGCAAGTATTTTGATGTTTATATGCAGCCCTTCTAGGTGAATTCCACCTCCAATTTTTACATTTTAATCCTTGCCTCTTTAACAGACATTGCAGCAAAGGATGAAATGCAGTTGTTCATTATGTCAAGAAAATACCAATTAGCCATCAGACAATTCAATAAGCTTTGTGTAAATCTAGTGAACAGATGATGTCTTATATAAGTTTGATGAATTAATGCTTAATTTCCTTCCTGCATGCCCCCAAAACAGCCAGCATAAATGTCAATTGCTACAGCTCTGACTTCTGGGGGGAAACACTCTTTACTTATTTAGCATTGCAAAGCAAAGTTTCAGCAACAGTGAACAAACATAATGAAATTTTCTGGGTTCCATTCCCCAATGATTCTTTCACCACCACCCGGCTCTCCTGAGTTGAACTAACATAGCAGCCACTTTAAGTCAACTCTTATAATTGCTTCCAATTTGCCTGTTTTGCTTTTGGCAATTAGCAAACTGAAATGTTATCATGAAAGAGTCCATCTCATTTATAAGGCCAGGTTTTCCCTCCACTAAAATATGCAGGCACTCTGTTCTTTATTACCAGCAGGAGATAAATGGCTGGTTTTCGTTGCTGAAGAATATATAATGGTTAAAAAGTCACTTTTTTCCTCCAGCTCTACATAAATCACAGAACTAGTCAATATTTAATAATGCTTGCCTTGGTCTGGAGTCCCTTGATCACCCCTGTCATGTGTAATAGCTCCCTCTCCGATATCTTTGACATAAAAGCCCAGCTTTACTGCAATACTAACATGTAGAGGGTCATTACGGATCGACATTTACCTTAATCTGTGACTGCCAACCATGAACCGATAAATTCCAGCAGATTCCACTGGGAGAAATCAGTAAACTTCTCAGTGGAAAGAACTGAAGGAAAATTCTGCCGAGAACAGAATACATTTTCTACAAGGGCTGCTCTGCAAATGGGTTCTGACTTTTGAAAGTTCTCTAGCTGCACAGCTTTGCAACATTTAATACCGTTTTGATGGTTTGAGAGACGGGATGACAACCGAGGATGACATGACTTAGAAAGCAAGCAGAAATTTTCTCTGCAAAAACAATGCAAGATTAAACACAAGGGGAATATGGCTTTTGCATTATTCACCCTGCTGCCTTGGCGGAAATGGCTGTGCTGTCATGGGTCCAGCCAAAATGTTGCTCCTTTTTTTCAAATTGATCATCACTCCTTCTCCTCATAATCTTACAAGTGCTTCACAGCAGAATACATCAAAGCCTTCATTGCATAAAAAAGGGACACAACAGCCTTTGTGAGGGGTCAGCTGAGACTGCCTACTACACATTACGCTCTTCAATGAATGTGTTTCTCCAAACAGCACACAAACAAGTTCATTTATACACTACTTTGTAGAGGACAGCAATTACAGCATGTATGTTCTCTTTAGCACCGATATTGGAAAAAACAAATCGTTCTCATTCTGAGCAGAAAAAAAGACAAGTTATGAAGCCAACAGTGATTCAATTCTCTATCTGTTACTGCATTTATAATACTGATTAAATTTGCGTACAGTACATAGAAGGATTAAATGTCATCCAAACATTATTTTCAACCACAATTTTATATTATACTCATAAGAAAACATTTTTATAGTTGCCTGATGTCAATCATGCTATTTAAAGTGCACTAAAAATTAATGACAACATTGTTAGGTATAATTCATAAACATTATTTGTGTACAATATTTTATTATTTATTATACCTTAGAGCATGCTTAATAGCTCAAATTGACATATTAAATGCTCACACGCATTTTGTGAACATTTTTATTCACTGCCCAAGTATTTTACATTTTTATAATAATTAGAGAACACAGCATTTTACTTTCAAGTGAAAAATAGGCACTTTGTGTAATACATTTGGAAAAAATGTCCATTTACATTCTTTAGTGCCTTATATAGTCTTTTACACAGGTGTAACTTCACTAACTCTACCACTCTGATTTAGCAACATTTTCACCCAAGACCACGTTGCTATGTTTAGGTTTAAAAGACATAAGAAAAAAAAAAAAAAAAAACAACCACACAACATAAACCAGTGGAAACAAAACAGCAGCCCACGATACAATAAGGCTTAACAGCTAATTGTTACTTTTCAGGCTTTTGTACCATGTGGTGAGTCTCTCTGTTATATAGAAATAAAGAGTCCGTTTTCTTTTCCTTTCTTCTTTTTAGGAGTAAGTGTCTGATTTAATTGCATACTTTTTGAGGTAGCTGGCTGTTTGGAAGCCTTATTTCTTTACTGTAGCTTATATAAATTTCAAATATACCCACAATCAACCATAATATGAACAGCTCTCATGAATGGCTCCCACTTATATAAGCAAACCAACTGAAATTTTGTGAGTATAGCTTCCTTATCTGAGTGAAGGTTGCAAGATAAGACTCCATGTGTATATCTAGAGACTAAATGAGTGCAGAGGGCTTATCTTTATTTGCCAATTTATGTGTTTGTACAAATGTAAAGCACCATAAATCAAAGCAGCAGTTCTTAAAGAATAAAATTGATAATTCTAAAATAATCAATGGAGTGGCAAAAAAGCAGAAAAATTTAGTATCAATGCTGTTATTAGACTTATTATAAAGGAAAAAAAAAAAATACCTTGATCAGCATAGAAGATACCAGTGACAAGGACTGTGTAGGTCAATTTTCCATTAGGTTTATTTGGGGCAAGCCATTTTAATTTAACTTCTTTGGACCCATCGACAGCAGCAAATATATCAACTGTTCCCTCAGGGGAAGCTTCCATGGTCCGAGCTTCTACCTGTAAGTTCAACCATGAGATCAAGGTTTGTTGCCATAGTTTACAAACAGTGAAGGAATGAGAAATGCAAAATTTTAAGAAAAGTTATTTGTTTAGACAAAAACGTAACTAACACTGCAAGTGTCCTAATTTTTAAGCATTTTACCTTCCTTTCATCTACATATGTTTGAAGCTGTCCAGCAACTAATATACTTTATATGGAGAACCCTGTAAGGAACAGAAAATAAATACTAGAAAAGAATGAAAGAGTCATTTCTTGAAAACACCATTGCACCTCATGTGGATGAATGATCTCTGCCTAGTGTTAGGGGAGGAAGCAGCAATAAAAGACCACAGATTTTTTTTTTTTTCCTGCATTTTAAAAGACAGCTGTAAGGAATATGCTTTTAAACACTGTAGTAAATTACTATAGATATTTGATAGAGGAAAAATATCCTTTGCAGATTATTGGTTGCTCCCTGAATTAACTTCTAATTTCACCTAACAAATTTAAATTGCAATAAAAAGTAGATCTTTAAGAAAAACAAAATATGATAAAGGAGCTGGAAAATTTAATGAATGTGAAAGATTTTTGAATATAAATAAATACTCATTCAATATTATAGAAATTTAGTATTTAAATTTCACAACTTGTAGTACACATTCAGTGCTATGGAACAAAATATTATGTTTTATGGCAACAAGTTTGTCTCTCATACATTATTTATTTTGTGTTTTCTAAGGTATAAGATGGTTTCACACTTTTCTAAGTGCCTCTCAGTTGCAAGTTCATGGGAGTGCTAATAAATGCTCTTTTAATCTGCCACACCTGCTCTGTCATCAAAATAACCAAGCATACTGTCTCTGTCCTTGAAACATGAATGTTTTACTTTTTAGCATGCAAAATTTGGAAAGCTTATTGTTTACAAGTGCCAGGCTATATCTTTGATGTGCCTCAATATCTCTACATGTACTTCTATATTCATACACTCTATTATATTTAAAATAGGTGAGCAGTTGCAGTAAAGCCAACAGGATAAAGCACATGCCTAAAGATAAACAAATGTTTCACAAATGTATTGGATCAGTGCCACATTGATTATTTGGGTATTTCAGTCAAAAACATCCTTATGGAAGAATCTGAGTAAACTGTGCTTTCTAAAATAAAATAATTTCCTGAAAAGTTGTGCTGCTAAATGCAGGTACTCCGATCTCACCACAACAGAAACATGGAGAAATGAATACCAACTATTTTTTCTACTGAAGAGGATTAAAATATTCTTAAAACAGTATGCATTTTTAGCAATCTGTACCGCATCCTAAGCAGCTGCAACAGCTGTATTGTGTTTCTAGCCTTTTCTTTATGACCTGCTATTCTTTTCAGTATAAAAACCTATTGAAACACTGTTTAGAATCAGTACATGTAGTATCCTCTACAGCCACACCTCTGCAGAGTATTTTGGAAATAGTATTTTGTATAAAAAAATGTACATTCTGTATATAAAATTATGGCACAGAAAACCTGTTTCATATTTCTTTTTCTAAACATTACTTTATACACAATTCTGTGATATTTTCAGATGTGTTTATTAATAACTTAATAAAAATACTCTGCTATCATATAAGTAACACTAAATCATAGGGTAAGAATAACAACTGCGTTGGGAAAACATTGACATCCACCTAAGTTTAAAAAAAAAAGTCCTAGCATACCCATAAGCTAAAACCCTAAAACTGAAGTTTAATAGCAGTGGGTTGAGATGACAAATATTCAGTGTTGACCATTTCCATTTATTTGCAAGATATTTACAAGAGCTAACACATTTCAAAACCAGCAGAATTGCAGGTCTTCTGAATTCCTCTAAAGAAGCTGTTAGAGGTTACACTATTTCTTAATAATACATATTTTTAATCCTTTTTAAGCAACAAAAGCCAATTAGAACAGGCACAAAAGCAATATCTTGGCTTTACTAGAAAGAGATTAAAATTTAACATGTCTTAATTTACATGTTACCAATTTGCATCTCATAAAAATAAATCATAGTCACTGAAAAAGAAAGTTAAACAAAAACTAACCCAAATAAAAAAAGTTATTGAAACACAGTAACTTCTAATGCTTTCATAACTGATTAAGATCTTCAGAGCCACCTTCAGAAACATGAACTGGAGAAATCCCATCTTTAGGACAGTCACATAGCATTCATCATCGATTAGGGCACATTAAGCACAAGATCAGCAACAAAAATAGCTGAAGGTGTATCAGTTTACTGCTGGGAGATATTTCCTATACTATTTAGAGTAGAGACAAAATATTTAGGTGGGGGGGTGGGGGGGGTGGGGTTTGTTTGGGGTTTTTTTAAGTGTTGGATTTATTCTGTAATAGATATAAAAATCTTTCAAAAAAATCAAATGAAGATGCAGTGCTTTAACTTCCTGGCAGCACTTAGGTGAGCCTAAATAAAGATGTTGTACTTCAATTCCTGTGATTAGAGATGGATCACTGGCTTTGGAAAACAGTTTGCGTACTGATCATGGGATGCAGATGAGTATCAGCTACAGCGACCCCTACTTTGAATTGTTTCAAAAGTCAAGTTACAAGTCTGCAGTTCAGCAGAGATGTCAAAAAAGGTTACTAAAAATATTTTTTAAAACCCTAACTACTGCCATTCTGTTCTGTCCTTATGATGCCTATTTGATAGGACAGAAGTAGTGAAAATATGCGTATTTCATCTGTATGCAAAGTCTGGTAACAACTTGTCTTAAACATCACTACTAACACAATGGATTAGGTTATTGCACATCACGAACCTTAAAACAAGGTTTGCTTTTGGGATATATGTGAAGTTGTAAAAAATGTACAAGAAAAACTGGCGAAAAGCCATTCAAGCTTTTAAGAGTAAATATCCTTCAAAGTAGAGCAAGCTATAAAATGTTTAATGGTTATAAAGTCTAGTCGTCTTCTACAGATAGACAATGTTACCTGCATTTGAAAGCAAGCAATCTTGGAATGAATATTGGAAATGTGACTAATGAATTATATCATAAAAATAAAACTTGGAAGTTCTTTCCAGAGCACAATATAGTGATGTTATAAATTACGATGGAAAAATAAACATAACATGAAAAATTCCCAAATCTTCCTTTTTTCTTTTTTCTTCCTTTTCTTGTTAGTAAAATTAAAAATGCACACATAAAGCTGAATTAAACAAAAGTTAAATCTCAGAATTAACACAGGTTTCTTTCTCAGTTATGCCTGAAAGCAAAATCAAGCACAGCATATATTGTTCCAGTTATTCATCAGCTACAGTACTATAAAGTCATGCTGGATTTATCAGTTCAGCTATACATCTAAAAACCTTTAACAAAATAAAAAAGCCTCAGAAGGCTTGTTTTTCACATGTCAAATTTAATATTCCTTTATTCTCAAATCCTGAAAAGATGGGGTGTTGAACAAGACTATTAAAATTTGTCCAGTATAATATTTCGATCACATACTTGCATTCAAAAGATATTTACGAATCACCATATTTTCCTTGCTCCTGTTGCTACTTCTGGATTCTGCAGTTCTCAAGTTAACTTCAGTCCTTTCAGTCAGGCAGCTAGAAATTTGCTCATTACTGGAACAGTAACTCTTTCTTTATATATGTCCTTATAAATCTGGCCAAAGCACATCTGCACCTTTCAAACATATTAACTCTATTTAATTTCAATAATGTGTGTTTCAGCCTCAGATTTTGCCTTTCTTCACTGTACCTATGTTCTACTTTGGAACGGTGCCTAACAATGACCTATCAAATCTTTAGCAGCTCTTAAACAGGATTTTTTTTTAAATGTCACATTTTGCCAGATGGGTTAGTACTGACCAGAGTGAATCATCACCATTTACTCTGATATTCGCTGCCATCTGACATTTATTACACTCCCAGAATGCAAATTAAGGTACTCACCAATGGACCCAAAGCACAACCTTTTGCAGTACATGCCTGGACTCTGAAGGAATGCAGACTCCAAGGAGCAAGTCCATAAGCATAACAACTTCGCTGTGATGAATTTTGCATCAGAACACCATCCATATACAATCCATAGCTAGTAATAATACCTATAAAACAATGTGATAGCACTCAATGTCTAAAGAGCTACAGAGTTTTAGAATATAACTAATGCTACAGACATTAGGGTGGTAGTAGTAGTATTTCAAACAGTTTACAGTTAAGCAGGTAAGCATTTAGGAGGACTGGGTATGCGACACTTCGAAGAAACACACTCTCCCATCTTTAACTGTTGAAAACCTTGCAAGTGGATTGCACCTTTTGAAAACAATTACACTTAACAAATTTGTTTCTGAATAGCAGCTAACATCACCTTGGAATCAGGAAAACTGAGGCAACTCTGTTTCACAACCTATTCTGCATATGGCTATTGAAACAAGAACTGGAAAGGCACACAAAACCATCTCACATGTTAACAGCTTTAGACTTAGAAAAAAAAAAATAGTGATCTACAATATAATTGAAACGTTGAAGGACAACTCAAGCCAGTGCTATAACTACAATAAATCGGTGACAATTAATTTTGTCATGCAAAACACCTTATTGATACTCATTCTTGTTGATAGTTATCTCAGATTTTCTGCATTTTTCCAACAAACTAGATACTTCATTAATTTGTTGTTTGTTGGTTTGTTGTTTGGGTATTTTTTAATAGTTTTATCCCCTTTTCTAAACAAAACCACAAAATAGTATGGATCACTTTTTCTTTCTCAATGTGCTGTAGTAAAAGTCCTGAAGTAAACTATTCCTTACCTATTCTATCTAAAGAAAGAAAACATATTTACAGACTCAAAACAAACATTTAGAAAGAGGAGAGAATGATCCTTCTGGTGTAATTGGCTAATAGTAACTCAAAAATTGCAGGTGATTGCTTATCTCAAGGAAATACAAATCTCTGTTCTTCCAAAGGTGCATGATAGGATAGCATGAATCCTGTACAGACTATACATACACAGTGTTTTGAATTTAATGAACTAAAGACTGGATTTTACAGATTTGCTTAGACTTTGGAAGTTAAGCTTGCAAAGGAATCCTTTTTCTCAGGGTTATTCCTCCATCTTTCTCATTTCTGAATATTCTCCCTTTTTAAAAGCTATTTAAGTGTGAAATCTTAAGGCCAATAAATGCAAAGCTATAGGATTTATTAGAAGTGAATTCAGTTCAGAGGATGCCTCTAATCTTCCCATTATAGAAAACATCTTCGTATTGTAAAAATATAGCTCAGTTCATCTTTCCTTCCCTTAAAACTGAATTGTTTGGAACTGCATTGAGGAAGATTCTGTTTGAAATTGAGAAAATATTTTCCCCTCTGTTGAACGAAGAAATACTTCGTAAATAAAAGTGTATACACAACTGTTTCAGCTGAGGTTTGAAGAGTTGTACTTCAAAAGATTTATATGCTAAAGCAATGCAGAGCTGAGTATGGTGAAGTGATTCACAGACTCCTCGATTCTTTTCTCTTCTAGAAAAGCAAGACGCTAAACTCAAGTCAGACAGCGAGATGCGTGTGTGTGGGAGGAAGTCCTGATAAATCTCACACTATCAATCCTACCACATTTGACAGGCTTCCTAAAGCAAAAATCCCTCGGGGTTCCGTGTCTAGTTCCTTGTAAAGCAAGGGCATTAATGGTTGATATTTGCCCTACATCAAATAAACAAATTATATATATAAAAAAATATATTAATCTCAGAGGGAAAATGTGAACACTGGCATTAAGGATTTATTTTACAGGGGAAAAAGAGCTCCACTGAAGTACTTTAAGTACCTATACCAGCAGCACTAACCCTTTAAAGTCCTGGACAAACCATTATTAATTCCTTTGATATTTATGGTAACAGTATGAATCATAATGACATCATTTTATATAAATGTGGGTGTCATACATACCTCTATGGAACCACACTGTAACTCAGTATTAAATAACTGGACCATTATTTTAAAGTGTTCCTAAACCCACAGCACTATGTAGCATCTACACTCTTGAGAAGCAGCTTGCTGGTCAACGCTGTGAGTTTTTGTTAGTCCTCCCAGTACTGTCAGAGAACAATCATTTCTAACAAGCTGATCCATTATCTCTTGATTTTACTTCTGCCTTTGCCTTATATGACTCTGATGGAAAAAATTACAGAATGAAAAGAAAGAAAAAAAGTACATTTCAGAACAAAAGGGCTAGTAGTCTGACTTTGAGATGTGAAGCCATTTTTCTAAATTAGACAAGAATTCTTTTTGGAAAGGGATAACTAACTAAGCCTCTCTATTTCACCTGTATATGTTTCCAAAGCATACTGAGAAAAAGTTCAAAGTTGGCCCAAAGTTTACACACTTCTCAAGACTTGCTAGATGTTCCTGAAGTTTACCATCCATGAAATATTGAAGTGTATAGCACATTTTTGTGATTTACAAGACTTCATGAGCAACACATGGTCACCATGAAAAGATTCAGTTTCTTCATAATTATTAAGTCTAGGTAGCTAGATTAAATCTTGGTTTCACTGAAGACAAAATCTCTATAGACTATACCACAATTATGTTTCACTTTCAAAAAGAAATTCAACAATGCAAATTAAGCTTAAACTGAAGAAAGCCCTTCCCTTTTTCTTCATCCTCTCCCCTCCATGCATAAGGCCATATAGTCTGTCAATAATATTCTAGACATTAAAGATGAAAAGAGGTTTTGAATCTAAAGTGCTACAAGCACTTTACACTTAAGGTACAATCTAGAGGTCAAATCTTAAGCAAACATACTTTTACCTACATCAATCTCACTGACTACAAACACAAGTCATCTCTCACAAGCACAAGGATTTGCAGGAACAAGTACTGGATTAGTTCACTGAATAATTTTATATATCAATTTTTACTACACCTAATATTTCCCATACAAATTCCATATAGCCTTGGAAGGTATAGTCCAGATCAAGACTTGATTTTATCTATGATCTGTACACAAGTGAAGTGACGTTTTTGAGAAGTGACCATCTAAGAAAAATTTTCAACGGTGAAAAGAGATAAGGTCACTTTTATGTGAATGGATTTTAAAAGAGCAGACCTCAAACTATATGGCAAGACTATAACAGATATGTTCTGAAGAATATACAATTCTTTATTGAGACCACTAGAATAGTGAAGGCTCAAAACAGAATATTTCGTGCCACATGTCATTTCACAAGCCTCTCCATATCTTGCCCTCAACTAAATGGTCAATTTGCTTATATTACACTACCTACATGTGACATATATGTGATAGAAATAGAGCAGGGTTCTGCTGTAAATTGGCATACCTCTGGGCTGTGACCCATCAACCATTTTATTGTCAGTTTGAAAATAGGACAAAAGAAAACATGCATATTACAAATATATTTCAGCATGTCATCTTCCAAATGTTTTTTCTTGGTATATACACTTGGTATATAAAGGACATTTCTGAAGCAACTTTCAACAAAGAATTAGGTGTACCATTTCCCATTTTCTATAAAACAAAAATTTTCCACAAAATAATGTAAATTGGCCTTAAATTCAACAAAAAATGGAGCCCAGAAATTCATTATCCATGTTTGGATAACATTAGCCTTTGACATCTAAATGGTCCTGCATCTCAAAGCTTGACTCCCCCCATTGTGCCATCTTTATGAAGAAGCCAAGTAGCCTTTAATCCTATTTGCCACCTTTGGCCTCAAGGGTAGCATATTAATCCCACTTAACTTTTTCTAATTGGTGGCAAGCAGCTAGACTCCATATATATCAAGAGAGCATAGTAAAGTCTATGCTGTCCAAACACCAGTCAGCCTACACACCCAGTCAACATCAGCAACAGATAATAAGCTTCCTCAGCCCATAGAAATAAACAGTAATTTCTGTCATATAGTATCAGAAGAAAGGAGGAGGGAGATAAAGGAAATGGCCCCAGAGATCTACTAACAAGATGTCAGTTTATGATATGCAAATCTTTGCAATTCTGAGGTTTCCACCTGAAACAAAGCCAAGCTCAGTAATTTCAAAAAGCACTACTTACACCTAGTAGACTGAAACTCACCAGGTTTGAACCAATTAAGTCAAAAGTGGGAAACAGTTTCTGTCTTTTGGGAGGGGTGAAGCTACATTAGAACTTCTGTCTATGAGAATACACCAGTAAAATGCTGAAGTAAGAAAATTTAAGGGAAAGTTCCTTCTGCTGGTCGTTCTCATATTTCAGCCTTCTCAACTATGATATTTTTCAGCCTCCTACGCAGTTTTAAAATACTGACACAGAGAGCGATTATAAATGACGTGGCCACTAGGCAGCCCAAAAGATATGCTGAGAATGAACAAAACAAAGTCATGGAACAATGCAAGCTTTCCTGATTAAGCAGTTGCTCAGTGACAAGTTTTAGAGCTTTTTTTTTTTTTTTTTAATTCTTTTTATGAAATAAGGAAAGGGATGGAAATAGGAAATTGGGAAGAAATAAATAGGAGAATGGGAAAATATGTTATTAGTTATATGATATTTTTGAAACTCCAAAAAAACGTGGGGGAGAAGAAAGAAGAGAAATGAGAGAAAATCTGCATATCCCTTCTTGACTGTTGTGCAAGCGTGAGCATGCTATGGTGAAAAAACAAAGTCCCTGGTCCCCTAATGCCCTTCTGACTGCCAAATGCTTATGATATAGCAATTCTTCCACTCTTAACAACTCAGCTGACTTCGCTGAATCCCTTCCATCAGTTCTGACCCTAAGGAAAACCCTCTAACAGCAACATGCATAGTATCAATATATCACCAAAGAATAACAACAGTACCAAGGGAAAAATACTTTATGGGTTTCAAATAGTAGGAAGATGTGAAAATACCAGAGAATATTTTTAAAGGGGAGAAATACACACAGGAGGTCTACACAGGGTGTATTCGGGATTACAGAGGAGTAGGCTATATGACAAATTTGGTAATTACCTAAATGCATTGTTCAGACCCCCAAAATAGAGGTGAACAGTGTTGTCATCGATGCTGTGAAACCTCCAGTTTCCATGGATGACGGGACACGGGACAGAAAAATATAATTTCTTTTATAAAGCTCTCCTGATCCTTATCACATCTGTTGCTCATTCCTAACAAGCTATTTATTGTATTTCATAGAAACATAGAATCATTTAGGTTGAAAAGGACCTTTAAGATTATTGAGTCCAACGTTAACCTAACACTGCCAAGTCCACCACTAAACCATGTCCCTAAGGACCACATCTACACGTTTTTTAAATACCTCCAGGGATGGTGACTCCACCACTTGCCTGAGCAGCCTTTTCCAGTGCTTGATAACCCTTTCAGTGAAGAAATTTTTCCTAATACCCAATCTAAACCTCCCCTGATGCAACTGGAGGCCATTTCCTCTTGTCCTATCGCTTGTTACCTGGGAGAAGAGACTGACACCTACCACACTACAACCTCCTTTCAGGTAGTTGTAGAGAGCGATAAGATCTCTCCTCAGCTAAACAACCCCAGTTCCCTCAGCCACTCCTCACAGGACTTGTTCTCCAGACCCTTCACCAGCTTTGTTGGCCGTCTCTGGACACGCTCCAGCACCTCAATGTCTTTCTGGTACTGAGGGGCCCAAAACTGAACACAGTATTCCAGGTGAGGCATCACCAGTGATGAGTACAGGGGGACAATCACCTCCCTGCTCCTGCTGGCCACACTATTTCTAATACAAGCCAGGATACTACTGGCCCTCTTGGCCACCTGGGCACATTGTCAGCTCATATTCACCTGGCTGTCGACCAACAGCCCCAGGTCCTTTTCGGCCAGGCAGCTTTCCAGCCACTTTTCCCCAGGCGTTGCATGGGGTTGGTTGTTGTGACCCAAGTGCAGGACCCGGCACTTGGCCTTGTTAAGCCTCATACAGTTGGCCTTGGCCCATCGATCCAGCCTGTCCAGGTCCCTCTGTAGAGCCTTCCTACCCTCCAGCAGATCGACACTCCCCCCTAACTCAGGGTCATCTGCAAACTTACTGAGGGTGCGCTACCACCCTCAGTTGTTTCCTAACAACCTATTTATTGTATTTAAAAGGAGAGCCAAGCTGTACGTAGTAAATGCTGTATTAACAACAAGATACAACATGCAAATTTAGTCATGTATTCCCAACTTTTAGTTGTTTTAAAGGAAGCTTGTAGAAGTTTATTTATCAAACTATAAGTCTTTATCCTGTGCTGTTGATATGTATATATAAATATATGTATGTATATGTTTATATTTATTTGATTAGTTAAACCACTCTCTAAACTACTTGGATTTTTTCCCACAGTGCAAGAATAACAGGATCAGGTCCTGACAGTACACATCAAAAAACGCCCATTTCATTGAAAATTATTCGGCCTTTAGCCACTAAGCCACATACATGGCCTTCCTGCCTCCCTTCCTTCCATCCCTTAACCCTCCCCCTTTTTGCTTCCTCCTTGCCTTCCTCTAAGCCTTTGCCAGATATGCTGACGGGATTTTAGAAACAGGGTTATAGGGTTTTTAAGGGGCTAGGAGGCGAAATCTTCTAATATGACTCCCATACAAAGAACCATAAATTATCAAATACATTCTTTAACAGGAGATGACATACTCTTACTTCTTTCTAAAAGTAATGTAAGACCTTACAGAATATTACCTATATGTAGCTTTACAACCACCAATTTTTTGGGGAATCATTTAAAATGCCTTGTAGTGAAGTTGTACAAGTAGGATGTGCTCTACCACAACTGAAAGCAGGGAAAAACTTGCAGGGGAAAAATGAAATTCATGTGAAACCACTGTGAGAAATAATTGATATATATCAATATGATAAGCCAATGAAGAAAAACATTCCTGTTGCTTTAAATTCAGTGATTTCTGCATAGCTTCCTCTGCTGTGATTTAAACTGTTACGTGCATGATAATAAAATCAAGGTGAATTCCAAGGCCGTATGATACTGTGCAACACCATTAGAAACGTAAAATTTGTCCAAAAGTTTTACACATGGATATTTCACAATTCAAACATTTCTAAACATAAGTAAGTATAGTATTTAACTTCCACAGCCATGGAAATGTACACCTTCAAGATGACTATGTACAACACAAGTCTAATGATTATTACATATCAGTTAATGTAAAAGAAATTAATGTTTTATTAGAGGGTGAAATGAACATCCTAGACTGATATTCTCCAAGAATACCTATTCCTCAGCTCACTTGTCCCGGAAAACATTAAACAATGAGATGCAGTACACAAGAACTATCAAAAGGGAGCACTTTTGAGCCACTGAAACTGTACGATAGGCTGAAAACCACAATCTCCTAGCTGCAGACAATGATACTATCTCAGGTATTTTATGTGCTAAAATGATCATTAAAAATTAAGCACCACATATAAGCTGCCATTTAGAATATTAATTTACCTTTACTAATCATCTTTTTAACTTGAGGCTAAAAGAGTTCACTTACCATTCGGATACTCAGGCTTAGTCCATGAGATGTTAAAGGAGTCAGATGAATATGACTGGGCTTTTGGAGCAGGAACACCTTCTGGTGTACTCTCATCTGTTATAGCTGTGCTAGCTTCGCTTATTGAACATCCACCTCCAGTGCAAGCCTTAAAATATGAATCAAAACAAATAAACATATTTCAATGTAATACCAATAATTTTAGCAATGATTTTTTGTAAAGTTTTATAATTTTTACATATGTAACCTTAGTAAGTCAGTGCTTTTCATAGAAGATACTTTTCTTAGCATAGATTCGTTTACCTCTTAAATAACAAGATGTGCTACCCATGATACTTAGTTTTTAGGTATAGCATAGCTAAAACATTATCTTAATGTTTGACTTGCAGCATTTTGTATTTGAGAGTCATAATCACAATTACATTTCCACTGTTTTTGCAGCAACAGTTAAAGAAAGTTACAGTAAAATACGTATCATTTACAGTGTGCAAAACTCTTCTGGAATTGACTGTAAAGCTCTCAGAAGTTCCGGACACAGAATATACTGACCAACTCACAACGCACTTAAAAAATTATCTTGAATAGCCATTGAGAAAAAAAATGCCATTCAGACATTCCTGCACTTCATGACAGCACACAGAGTGGTGTGCAGATGCAGTTAAAATAGTGAAAAAACACTCTATTATGAATCAATATGTAAGTTGTTATTACATGTTTATAGATAACAAAGTCAAATCATTTGGATTTCAGTTACCAGAGAAGAAAAGATTGATTACATGATTTTTACATTTTGCTTGATTATGAAACAATACAATGTGCATGAAAATATGCATGCTTCCCCATATAACAGCATCTTAAAGTTTTACATGCACAAACATAAGGCTACACAGCTATAGTCTTTATGCGTGCTGGTTTTCCAATTACTTGCACCAAGATCAATGACAAGACACAGGAGTTCTTAGAGAAGTTAGACAAAATACACAAGAATATATAAACTCTATACTGGAATTAAATATTTCTTTTAGTTTATTGCGTTTTTTAAATTTTATTGTTTAGCAATAAAATAAATCAAAACCTGGATTCAACGAAGATCCAGATTCAGACATACTCTTAATTAAAACTTATGGGATCACCTGTGTTTTCAGGAGTTGCCCATGTGCTGAAGTGGACAAGTAGACCGCTCTGGATCATCAGCACACAAAGGAAAAATAAACTTGCTGTCCAGATCTCCAGGAATAATACATTTCTCTCAATCTAGCATATTTTATTTGAAAGGATTAGCTTCAATTTCCCACTTCCCAGTGTGTTTCAAATCAGAGAGCAGTCAACATAATTCCTACCCTGCTCCAAAAGCATATACTAGCCCCATGGATAAAAAAATAACTGTTTGTAAACAAGCCTATTTTATACACCAAGATTGTTCTGATTTCACTGGAAATTACACTCCCAATACAACTACAGAATGGCTCCCTGTGTTCAGTCTGGGCTATCAAATAAAGATGAAAGATTGCAACCTCAGTTTTGGGAACGTCCGAAATGGCATTTACTTTAAACATGACAGTGGTTTAAAATAAAAAAAAAAAAAAAAAAAAGGCATTTACTTTAAACATTACAGTGGTTTAAAAAAAAAAAAAAAAAAAAAAAAAAAAGTCACCTTAGATGCTCAGATAACTGTCAGCATTTTGATAAGGAAAATATTTACAAACATCATCCTTCCAGCAAAGGCAGATTATTCTTCAAATTATTTCATTTCTAGTGGCTTCATGAAGAAACCAAAAAGACCAACTCTGGAAGACCTCTTCCTCGTACATTCCTTACTGCCTTGCTAAACAAGTTCCATGGAGTCTTCCTCAGCAGTGGAGGGCGTTTTCATTCAAGGGCTCGGTAACAGCAGCCTTCCCATTCATTTATTTCTTGAATTTCGTGAAGATCAATTTTTGTACCTCTGAAACTCGCTGGGGTGTTAAGTTTCTGATTCTTCTAATGAAAATCAGTAAAAGAAAGCTCATCTGTATTTTAAATAGTGGGATTTTACACTAGTGCATCCCAAATGGACTGGACATTGCTGGGACCCTGGCAATCGCATCTGGTGATGCTCAAAGCCATGAAATCCTACACTCAGATCGAGCCCATTGTGCCATTCTGAACTTCACTGAGAAACAGATTTGAGGCAAAATTTGCCAAAATACAAAAGTATGTAGACAGCCAACGGACAGATACAAACGACATAACAAGACACCACACAGTAATCCTCCAGCTAGCACCTGAGCTAGCTTACCCACACAACACAGCCGTGAGGAGATATAGCTTAACAGTTAAATTGCAGAAGCACTCAAGTCATACAAACAAGTGTGCCACCCCAGCTACTAAATGCAGGGTTTCAGCTTTTCATTTTCTTTCAGATTGGCCTGGTTCACACCCATCCAGATTAGAGCATGAAAAGAGCAAAAGCAAGTTCCTTTTGTTCATTTACAAAAACAATTGCTACATATTAAATAGCAGTAACAGCATACAAAGATAAATATTTTGTTAACTTTACTTCATGTACTTATATTAAACTTGTCATACAAAAGTTAAAGCCAGCAGCCTGTGAGGTGCTGGAAGTTCTGCTGATGAGGATCCTCATTCCTGTGCTCAAAGCTGCAACATTTGATAACTCACCTTCCACTTTCCCACATAAACAAAAACCAGTTTTTGTACGGATACAAAACAAAATTAATATTACCTGTGAAACAAGGAAAAGAAAAAGATTCTATCTGATAGAAATATTTCATTCTAACAAAAAAAAGAGGAAAAATTTAATTAAGTTTCCATTGTTGAAGCTATGCTGTTGTTGTTTTTACTTCAAAAGTTTTATTGAAATTCAGATTAAAGTATATGTGAAACACTAAATATCTCTATTTCTTTCCAGGTGTGTGTGTGATTTGTTTTCTTTTTTTTTTTTTTTTCATCAAGTATAACATTTGGCCATGTTTAGTCTTCAAAACTTGTAAATCTCTGTCATGGTTTAGTCCCAGCCAACAACTAAGCACCACGCAGCTGCTCGCTCACTCCCCCTACCCTGATGGGATGAGGGAGAGAATTGGAGGAGTAAGAGTGAGAAACACTCCTGGGTTGAGATAAGAACAGTTTAATAATTGAAATAAAGTAAAATAGTAATGATAATAATAACAATACAATAATGATAATAACAATAATATACAAAGCAAGTGATGCACAATGCAATTGCTCACCACCCGCCGACTGATACCCAGACAGTTCCTGAGCAGCGATTGCTGCTCCCTGGCCAACGCCCCCCAGCTTATATACTGAGCATGACGTCATATGGTATGGAATAGCCCTTTGGTCAGTTTGCATCAACTGTTCTGGCTGTGCCCCCTCCCAGTTTCTTGTGCACCTGGCAGAGCATGGGAAGCTGAAAAGTCCTTGACTAGCATGAGCAGTACTTAGCAACAACTAAAACATCAGCGTGTTATCAACGTTGTTCTCCTACTAAATCCAAAACACAGCACTATGCCAGCTACTAGGAAGAAAATTAACTCTATCCCAGCCGAAACCAGGACAATTTCTAATATTACATTCTTCTTAAACTAGTCTCACAAGTTCTAAATACAATGGATTCAAATGTTTTAAGAAAATTATCACCTCAAAGATATTGAGAATTTCATGCACTTTTAGACTTGCCATTTTCAAAGCTGCAAGGACATTTAGATCTTCTAACCAGCCTATCACAGACCATTGCATTTTATCCAGGTAAATCTGGTTATCTTCATCACCAGAAGGAATGATCTTTTCTTACTTTCTGGTTACCACTGATGCAATGCAAATATAAAACAAAGGTACCTAAAAGTGTATTCAGTAACTTCGAGAAAAGCTGTACACATTAATGAAGTAAAAACAAAGTCCACACAATACTTCTTTGTTTTAACCATATGCCAAGGCAGAGCCACCAAAAGAAGCAGTCCCAGTTTCTCTCCAGATCCTAGCTGTTAATTCTGCCTGATCCTCTCTTCTTGTGCCTCCCATGCACTGGAGCTGGGCAGGAGCAGAGAAGAGCTGTGGCACAGTGAAGAACAGCACAAGTTCTTTTGGTAGTCCAGCTTGCTTATAAAGGCATAAAATGCTTGTTGAAGTAGTGCCTTAATTTTGGACATGGTGCTATGTTATATGCTGTACAATTTACTATGCTGAAATGTCTAGGCACAAATGAATTAATTTCAACATGAATCTAATCTTTAATTAGACTGAATATCCTTGCTTTTTCAAGTTCAAGTCAAATCCTTATCATTACCTGAAGGTAGTTTATTTTTTGTGGTATAATATTTAGAACATTCAAGAGCATGCTAAGAAAAAATGAATGCATACCCAGTCTACATAAATGTAAATTTATTCATAATCAAGAGCAGAATATTTTCCTATGGCATTTATCAAAGCAAATATCCTTATATAGGTATTGTTATAAAATGAACAGTGTGCTTAAAACAAGGGACAATCCCATGCTTTTATGCACATATTTCCAGGTTTGTTAGTGAGCTGAAGATGTTTTATTTCATCACAAAATAAAACCAATGACAAAGAAACGCAATGAAAACACCAAGGTCTTTTAAAATGTTTCTTGTAAACAAACTGCTACTTTACACTGAACTCTTTTCCTCTCTGCTGTTTCTTTCTACATACAGATTTCATGAAAAAAGAGCAAATTATCATGGTACAAAATACGAAAGGCTAACATTTTCAAATACATTCAACATTTTCTCATAAGTTGGGGGCAGGAGACACTTTTTAAGTCTTTCATATACTTCTGCTCAATTCTCTATTAGTTATCATCCAACATATCCTTGATGAAAATCTGTATTTAAGTTACATACACATTTTTTGAGGGCCTGGTTTGAAACAAAATACCTACTATTGCTCAGGATGGCTCACCCATCTTAGTTTCAGAAAGAAGAGGTTAAACAAAGTGGACACATGAACCATTAAGTATTTAAGATGTTAACAAAATCAGAATCATTTTCACCATTTTACACCTCTACTACACATCTTTAAAACTTACAGCTAGTTTTATGAGGTATTCAGTACCCGGGAAAAGCTGCTGAATAGTAAAATCCAGAAAAAGTTCCGTGCTGTTATAGATTACATTCCACTTTGTAAAATTCTGCTCATTGTTGGCAATATAAATTATATAGCGATCTAGGATTCCATTTACTTCTACTGGTTCTTTCCATCTGCAAATAAAAACAAAATATGATTAAGACCAACAAAGATTCAGACTGTACTGAAAACGTAAGGCTTTGTTTAGAGGACTTCGTGGGGTCTATTTTAAGCATTTGAAAACATAGTTTTGCAACCATAAAAATAAATCCAAGGCATGCCTCTAATGCAGTATTTGTACTCAATAGATAAATAATTACAGTAACACACAAAGCAGGGGCTACAAAACGGGCATATCACCAGAACATTTCCTGCACTGAAGTTTGCAGAGGCTATGCCCATATGTAGGTTATACTGATTGCGTAAAGACAAAATGGAAATTAAGTTGGCAAGTGATAATCAGAAGGTTCACAGAACCACTAAACTAATCACTTCTATGCATTTAATCATAATAAATTTAATTTTATGTCAC